CTTAAAAAAAATGGTCGTACATGGGCTTCAACCTCTAGACCTCATATTTCAGTACTAACTGTGAAAAACAACTGGACACCTCACAGTTCGTGGCTACCTACTGGTTTTCTATTCTTGTTGTGCGTCAACTTGTAACCCTGAAAAGAACTCTGGGTTTTCTATGGCCTGTTTTTCTTCGCTTTTTACTCTTTTTTATTTATTTTATTACTTTTCAAAAATGTTTGAACTTTTTAAAATTTAGAACTTTCTTTAAATTCGTGAACTTTTTCTTGAAAATCTGTGAATGTTTTTTCAATTCGTGAAAGTTTTTTTCAAAATCGATGATCTTCTCTCAAATTCGTGAACTTTTTTTCAAAATTTATAAATTCTTTTTATAATTTGTTACCTTTTTTCAAAATGGATGAACTTTTTTCCAATTTTGCGAAGTTTTTCATTTTATTATGAACCTTTCCAAATTTTCATATATTTTTTGTAATTCATGAACTTTTCTCAAATGGATAAACTTTTTTTTATAAAATCTGTAAACCTTTTTTGATTTCACAATTTTTTTAAAAAGTATTAATAAACCGACCGGGTTTTTTATACCAGACCAACAGCACAAAAAACGGAAAAAAAACTAGCCTGCAAAGAGAGCGGACGAGCAGCTGGAGCGAGCAGGGGGAAGGCGAGCGAACTGGCATTGCTGGGTCGCGGCCCGCTTGGGCGCTGGTGAGCGCCAGCTCTCCTTTCTTGCGCCGAAGGTGCGGAATAGGAGCTCTCCATTCTATAATGCAGTGGTCCGAGTATAAACCCTCTTTTTTTGGAAAAAGAATGCATTCCATCATCCAATACTTTACATTAAACCAGACGCACTTACAGCCCATGATGCCTTGGCTACAGCAGCAGCATCTTCAGTGGCTGCTTACATATATGTACAGTGTTAATTAAGCCATATTTCGATGCACCCATAACCTGAGATGTCCTCCTGGTTTGGTAATTCAGCTAAATGGGACACTGAAATAAACGGATCGTCTCACGGAACCAGCACTAGGTGCAGCTCCCCACAACGGCGATTTCGTCTTTGAGCGACTTCCTCTTGCCCTCGTGCTTGCTCCCAGGTTTTGCAGCCTTTTTCAGTGTCTGCAGCAACATCAGTTAGTAACCAAAACGTAAGAACATAGATACAGGCAGTAAAACCCAATATGCTGACCTTTTTGAGGAGTAGGTCCGTGTGCCTCTCCATCTCCCGGATCTGCTCCATGGTCATGCCGTACCACTCGTCTATCCACGCGAAGCACAGCCGGTGGCACGCCAGAAACAGCGCCCTCTCCCCCTGCACGGTATGGAGCGTCAGCTCTGAGCTTCTGAAGTATTGACACACGCTCTGCCAGATTCAGATCAAGCGGTGCGCAGTTTGACAAGATATGCAGTGCAGGTACCGCGATGAGGCAGTCTTCGAGCCGTTCGCCCAAGCCCCAGATGGGAGCATCCATGACCACCAGCTTGTATATGGTCATCACGGGACGGCATGAATCCTGAAACGAATGCGACCCATGTACAGTCAAACTTGACAGTAGCAGTGCACATAGATCTCTGATTCAGAATCTGCATACCATCCACCCATTCAGAAGAGGGCCTCGCTCCGTCCGTTGGGACTTGAATGTTGTGAGGTCGACTTTTGGAGCAGTGATCACCTTGCTCCAGTAGTCCCGCGATACTGACGCGATGTCGATGATCTCCACCTCTCTTGCAGCTAGCTGCTGGCTGTTTAAATTGTGCGCCTGGTTGTAGGGCAACCTTAGTGTCGTTTCCTTTCGTCCTAAGGACTGAAAATGACTAGGAGGCAACTGAATGTGCTTACATTTTCAGAGCAGCCGTTGTCAGGTCTTATCACGGTGTCAATCGTCAGGGAACACTTGCTAAAAAGAGGGCACTGCATGATAGTAACAAATGATCAAGAATAATGAAGTTAGTATAATTTGGCAGTGCTGGATGAACTGAGTTGTGAAGGATTCGAAGAACGAAATGATTTCTCTACTTGCAGTACCTTGATTACTGATGAGGGTCAGAGCAGCATCCATGGAAAACATGTAAAAGGGAGGGGGATACAAAGTTACAAATGGAACTAGTTTATAAAGAACTGATAAGTGTATAATTATTGCCAAAATATGATTCACAATTGGTTAAAAGAAAGGTCTTTGCTAACCTGTTCTGCTCTTTGGATAAGCGGACCAGGAGTCCTCATGCACTGCGAGAGAACTTGCGGATGCAAAGCCCTTCATCCAAGATGGAATTTTGCTGCACACAGTTTTTAAGGAAAATAATTGCTCCTAGTTGATCCAGTAATCTGGTAACTTACATTTCATAATGTCCTGATTACAACCTTTGATTTTTACCCCTTAGCATTGCATTTCTAATTAGCCAGTTATTCGCTTCCAGTGGTTTGTTCTTACCTTTCATGATTATCCATTGTCAAAGACTCTCTAGTAGTACAAAAGTTACAGGATTGTAATGGCCTTACTACCAAATAGGCATAATTTTATGCCTTTTTCTTGAAACAACTTAGGACGTATTATCTACGAAATCGGCGAAATTTATCATGTCATGAACTAGTATATATACGTACAATAAACAAAACTAGGTGACTGTATATATGTACGAACCTCTGCAGATGATACACTTTTGAGGTGAATTGGCCCTCGCCGAGCTCGTCATCCTCAAAAGGGACCTGCTGCAGCACCTCCACGCCCTCCTTTCCATTTGTATTCTGCTGCTCCATCTTGATGATGGTGTAGCTGAGCCCTATCTCATACTGCAATACAGTAATCGACCTGTCTCAGCTCAATTACCATCTCACAACAACAAAACACTGAAAAAACCCCTCTGAAATTCTTTCTTTGGTGGTTCTTCATACCTCCTCCATCAACATAGGCATGATGATTCGGCTTAGTGCAGGATCATAGTCAAGGTCCGGCAAATCGACGAAAGCACATGAGTTAACAAAATGAAAATAAAAGTAGGAGATCATGCACACAAAGCGATATTGCATGAACACAAATATCTTTGATAAAAAGGATACAATTCCTTGATCTGAACCATGGCGGAAGCAGTATCGAGATGGTGGCAGGGCGAGTTTGGTGTTGGGAGGACGAAGATGAGCCCTTTTTCGAAACCGCAAGGAGGAGAACTCTTCTGCCCGTTTCCCAAGAAGGCAGTGGAGGAAGAGTGGGGACTCGGGAACAGCTTCAAATTGCTGTTTATACTTCTTCCACTTATGACCTCCAACAGATGCGAAATCTGATAATGGGGCAGCACAACTTAAAACTGGAAATTTATGTCAACTTACAGTGGGAATCTGAGGTTTGAAGCGGGCGAATGTGCGAAGGATCCTCGCACGGCCAGGTCTCCATCAACAGGGTTGTGACTTGTGAGGTGGGTAATTTACGCACGTCAGGGGTTGCCTTTATGTAACGTATCTTGCAACTTCTGGAGAAGAAGATGCTGGCAAAATCCGCCTGGCCGCCACTGCAATTGTGCCCACCCCTTTGTATTGCTGTCCCATTGGCCCGGCCAGGGGAAAACACTTGGCCAGGAGGAACCTATGTGGCTTCAAAAAGCACCACTCCGTCATGCAGATCATCAAGGGTGTTGACTACATGATCTAGTGGCGGATGTTTTTTTTTCTCCAAAAATTCATCTCGCATACGTTCGCGGACTCGCGGACACAGCCCGCAATCACCTCACTGATTCATAAATTCACTTCATAGTTTCTTTGTGGGTCGAAAAAGTACCTGTTGTCCCGATTGCCTTTGAGAGCGAGGCCATCGTCGTGGCCGTGGCTCCAATGGTTCAGATCATACTCGAGGTTCAAGACTTGTGTGCGAACTTTGTTCATCAATATCCATGACGCATCCAGACAAGATGGATATTGTTGGGGCCAATGCGGTGGCACATGCAATTTTCTAACGATAAAGAGGAAGCAAGGGCCAAAGGTAAGAAAGGTAGTGCTAACCCTTAGATCAGCCATCTTGAAGTTGAAAACAGATAGAAGCAAAAATATGAAGGGTGACCCTAGAAAAAAGAAGACACATATGGTTAAATGATGGGGGAGAGACTACTGTACAAAAAACACTTTGTGTGCAAAAATAAAAAAATCAACAACATCCATCGGATTTTGAATGGATGTCTCGGATCCACCTTGAGGAACATGATGGAGGGATCATTTTGTACATAACTGTTAGTGAAGGGTTTTTTCACAAAATGCACAGAAGCTCCACCAACTCGCGTGCATTGAATCTGAGACATCCATTTAATATCCGACGGATGTCACTGTTTTTTTCTATTTTTGCACACTAGGTGTTGCTTTTACACTAGTCTCTCCCGATGATGGAGGCTACTCAGCTCTTTGGGTAGTCTTCCTAGTTTTGGCATTGTCCATTGTCATTCTCGTTGTGTTTTCCTTCACTTGCATATGTCATTGGGTATTTTTGTGTGGAGACCTCCTATACGGCGCTTCAGGCGCCGAATTCCGCTCCTGGCGCTCGTGCATAGCATGTCTGGGTTATACCAAATAACGAGCGAATGTTGGCTTGCCTCGCACGCTCGATTGATGCTTTCCTTCGGAAGTGTCTGCTATTCAACCAGTGGATGGTTGACCTGTTCACTTTTCACCAAATATGAAAATAAATCATAAATTTGAAAACACTCATGAATATAGAAACAAGTAAAAAAAGTTCAAAAAAGTGTATTTGGGAAACATTATAAATTTGAAAAAGTTCATCAATTTGAAAAAAATATCATGAATTTGGGAAAAAGTTCAGGAATTTGGAAATGTTCATGAATTTGAAACACTTCATGAATTATAAAAAGTTCACGGGTTTTAAAATGTTAGCAAATTTGAAAACAAATCACGGATTTGAAAAATTGTTAACGAATGTAAAAAAAGGTTCACGGATTTGCCAAATTGAGCGCGGGTTTCAAAACATTTTGCAAAATTGAAAAAAGTTCATGAAATTGAAAGAAATGTCCCTGAATTTGAAAAATATTTATAAATTTTTAAAATAATCACAAACTTACAAAAAAAATGTTCAGAATTTCAAAAATCACCGATTTGAAAAAATAAAATTAAAACAAACAAAAAACCGGCCAGAAGCTTCCCAAAATCGGCCAAAAAGCAAAATAAAAGGAGAAGTCGTTCGCATTATATAGGCCGACCCTGTAGTCACGAAAGTTGTGGCGAGGTCTGAGATGCGTACGGTTACCCAAGTAACTGCAAAATCACTAGTTAAAGGTTATCTTTGCAAAGGTCACTCCTCATTCCCCACCTTCTCACGTGCTGACAAGTGGAGACTGCATATGCACCACTTGTCGCAGTCTTGGAGTTTTCTTTTTTTTCAGAGATTCGTTTATTTAAAACGTTTTATCTCTTGACCGTGTGTCCAAATACCAAAACGTTTTCACCTTTTGATTTCTTGCGTTGAGATTTTTAAACTAGATCCATGCTAATAGGTTTTAACGATCTTTTTCGCAAAAACCTAAGAACTCCATGAAAAAACAGTAACTAGATAGAAGGAATACCAAAAAATATCAAAAAAAAAATATGGCCACTGAAAAGAATGAATACCAAAAAAACAGAAAAATAGAACCCAAAAGCGCGGTTGTGGTTTTCATTTTTTTTGTAAGCGCCGCCTTGCTTTTTCCTTTTTTTCGGGCAACCGGAGGTTGTATTTTTTTTCCTTTTTCAGTAGAAGCACATGTTGTACTTTTCGCAGAAGCACAAATTGCTTCTTCTACTCGAAGAGGAAAACTCGTAGAAAAACATGTTGTGCTTTTCTCTTTTACAGTGGAAGCACAAATTCCCTTCTCGTGAAAGCACAATCGTGCTTCTCGCGGAAAAAAAAATATGCATCCACGAGAAATACAGTTGTCCTTCTTATGAAAGTACACACTTGTTTTTAGAGAAGCACAAATGTGCTTTGAAAAAGAAAAGACTAAAAAATCTCCAAATCCTAGGAAAAACGAGAAGAAAACTGAAAAGACGAAAATGTTACGAATATGCAACTTGTAATCCTTACTAGGTAATTCTTTATCACGGGGTTGTCTATATAATTTAGAGAAATTAAACTCATGAGACACATCACCAAAATTTACACTAACAGTTTCCTTAGTGCAATCAATTTTAGCATTAACCGTATTCAGGAAAGGTCTACCAAATATAATGGGACAAAACTCATATTGTGGGGAAACCAAGAACTAGAAAATCAGTAGGGTATTTTATTTTTCCACATAAGACTTCAACATCTCTAACAATCTCAAGTGGTGTGATAGTATCTCTATTAGCAAGCTTAATAGTAACATCAATATCTTCTATCTCAGCAGGTGCAATATCATTCACAATTTCTTGATAGAAAGTAAACGGGATAGCACTCACACTATCACCCAAATCACATAAGCCATGATAACAATGATTTTCTATTTTAACAGAGACAATACGCATGCCAACAACAGGTTTATTTGTATCATTTTCATTGGGTTTAGCAATTCTAGTAGGTTCACCACAAAAATAAATAGCACGCCCATCGATTTTATCAACAAAGAGATCTTTAACCATATCAACATTAGGTTCAACTTTAATTTGTTCAGAGGGTGTAAGTGTTCTTGTATAACTTTTGTGAACCATAGTTGAAGTTTTAGCATATTCTTTTATTCTTACTGGAAAAGGGAGTTTCTCAATATAAGCAGTATGAACTTCAATGGGAGGATGATATTTAAACCACTTCTCTTTAGGGAGATCAACATGAGTAGCGAATGATTCGCAAAAAGAAGCTACTATCTCAGAGTCAAGTCCATACTTAGTGCTAAAATTATGAAAAGCATCGGTATCTGGAAAAGTTTTAACACAATCAAACTCAAGCTTTATACCTGACTCCTTACCTTCGTCGAGCTCTGAATCCTCACAGCTGTGTTTAATTCTTTCCAAAAGATCCCATCTAAAATCAATAGTGTTCATAAAAGAACTAGTACAAGAAATATTGAGCATGGATTGATCATCACGAGAAAGCCGAGCATAAATATTCTTTATAATAATTTCTCTTGAGAGCTCGTGATTGAGGCATGAATACAACATTGACTTAAGCCAACCCCAAGGTTGAGCGATACTTTCTCCTTCACGAGGCCAAAAGTTATATATATGTAATTCTGATCATGATGAACCAAATGCATAGGATAAAACTTCTGATGAAATTCTATTTTCAATTGGCTCCAATCCCAAGCTCCAATATCATCACATAGCCTATACCATGTCAATGCTTTTCCCTTCAAAGATAAAGGGAAAACCTTCTTCTTAGCTTCATCTACGGGTAAACCTACAAACTTAAATAATCCACAAACTTCATCCACATAGATTAGGTGCATATCAGGATGTAATGTTCCATCTCCCCCATAAGGATTAGCTAGCAGTTTCTCTATCATAGTCGAAGGAATTTTATAGTAAATATTTTCAGTAAGTGCAGTAGGTTGAAGATCAACTCTTTGTGCTTCTAGTCAAGGTGAAGATACCCTGAACAAACCTCTCAAAGGATGGGTTTTCATAGTGGCAAGTAACAGTAAATTTTAGCATGTAATATAAATGTTTCCTTACCAAATTTCACTCACCAAAGGCGCTTCACTCCCCGACAACGGCGCCAGGAAAGAGTCTTGATGACCCACAAGTATAGGGGATCAATCGTAATCCTTTCGGTAAGTAAGAGTGTCGAACCTAATGAGGAGCAGAATGAAATGACAAGCGATTTTCAGCAAGGTATTTTCTGTAAGCATTGAAATTATCGGTAACAGATAGTTTGGTGGCAAGGTAATTCGTAATGAGTAATAAGTAACAAGTGTAACAAAGGTGCAGCAACATGGCCCAATCCTTTTTATAGCAAATGACAATCCTGGACGAATCTTATATAAAGCAAAACGCTCCGAAGGACACATGGGAATTATTGTCAAATTAGTTTTCATCATACTCATGATTCGCGTTCGCTACTTTAATAATTTGATATATTGGTG